TCTATGGGGTGGAAGGGAGGGTCTATGGGGAGGAGGGCAGCGCCCCGCCCCGCCCCGCCCCGCCCCTCACCCCGCGCTCCGGGCGGCCCCGCTTGGCCCCTCCATGGTCCCGGCTCCGTGGGCGGAATAAACCGATCAGCGCCACGCGGTGGGGCGTGGCTAGACGGGCGGAGGGCGGAGCTTGTGGCGAGATGGGGCGGAGCCTGGAGAAAGGCTGTAGGAGATAGGGCGGAGCTTCGTAGGGGACCGGGGGCGGTGACATGGATGGGAGGGGACTATGGTTCTCTGGGGAGGGGCCTATTGGGATGTGGGCGGGACCTACGCCTATTTGGGGCGGGGCTTAGCGAGATGGGGCGAGAGGCTTCTAACTCTGCAGCTTTTCCTGCCAGCTGGGCCCCTGGGGTAGCCCAGATCCTCCCAACTGCACACAGGAGATGGGGGACGGGCTCTGCCCTACCGGCAGCTGCTCCAGCCCCCTGGCCTGGCCACCCTGGACTGGGGGAGTTGGCCCAGCAGCCAGTCGCTGCCTACCGGGATTAGTGGGGGGCTGGGCTAATCTGGTTTATGGGGGGGCGGGGGGCAGCCCACTGTGGGGAAGGGGAAGGCCAGGATCAGGGCCCCTGGCATGTGGGGAAAAGGATCAGGGCCCCCGAGGAGGGGATCGAACTCTGGTCTGGGGGGTAGGTCCTTAACACAGAGAAATGGGGGAGGGGTCCAGTGTGCAGCAAAAGGGGGGGGCAGGGTGGAGTGGGGGGAAATTGCACCCCAATGCCCCCTGCAGAGGGGTAGTTCCACCCATGTGAATTTCACCCAGAACCCCCCTCTCCATCCACATACCCCCAGCCTGGGGTCTCTGGGGCAACAGAGAGGGAGGGGGCACCAGGCTGTCCGGGGAGGGGGTGCCAGGTGTTTGGGGGTGAACTGGTCTTGGACTTCCCAAATATGGGGAATGGGGTGGGGAGAATGGTTCAAGGGGACGTGGGGTATTGAGGTAAGGAAGGGGGAATTGGGGGGTCTCCCTAGGGAGAAGGGAGGCAGTAGGGGGGCCCGGCTAGACTGGGTCAACCCAGGATTTAGGGGTGGGATGATCCGACACCCCCCACCCCATCCATCCAGAGACTCCCTGAGCGAACTGGGACAATATCTCACCATAGCACCCAATAAGCCGCCCAGGGGCATCGGGGCCAGCCCTGAATGCCAGGGGAGAGCCCCCACCCTGCCCCCTGCAGCACAGCGCCCCCCCAGCGCCGTGCCGGGGCATCGGCGTCAGCCCCCGGGACTCGGGCTGTGAGGGCTACAGCAATACAAACAATGACTAGGAATACAAATTTATTCATTACAAATAGCTCCCTTTTTAAAGGGGATTTATATGAAAACATTCCCACCCCGGAGCGAGTTTATACTGAAATTAGCAGAGGAGTGTGAATCTGATGATGTACTCACTACTACCCCCTGTGGCAGGGAAGTAGATATGTTCTACCGTGTGTCATGTCCCCTATAGTGCTCAGAATGAGAGGGATTCTCCGTAACTCCCAGGCACTGGCAGCTGGGTTCTATCCCAGCTCTTGCTGTGAAATTCACAGGCAGACCACCCCCCGGCCCAGCCCCACATCCCTCTGCCAGTTTATCTCCATGCCCTGCAGATGAGGGAGGAGGGGGTTCAGACTCCATGGCGGCAATAGGGCTGCTTAATGTCCTTGTGGTGAGGAGGGTAATGGGGGTGTCCGCCCTACTAGGAACGGAGCTGAGAACCTCGCCGTCACTACACACAGCCATTCGGATGGGAATAATCTGGGGCCAGATGGGAGCCAGCACCCCATAGCGGGGAAAGGCCCCATGTCCCATTCCCCACCCCCCTGAGCCAGCCAGTCCCCCAACCTGGGCCCAGATGGGCGCCAGCGCCCCCTACAGGGGAAAGGCCCCGTGTCCTGTTTCCAGCTCCCCTAAACACCTAAGTTACCCTACAGCTTTACCCAGATGTCATCATGGGGGATCTGAGTGAGTGTCTCCCCCCGGTGGCGGGAAGGAGCCTAGCAGCGAGACGTGCAGCTCCTAGCACCTTTCATTCCTTCTCCCCCAGGAGGGCGCTGATCTCTCTCCTCAGCTCTCGGATTCTGGCCCGGGCCTCGGGGCTGGTCCTGGATTCGTCCAAGTCCCGGAGGACGGAGACGATGCAGCGCAGGGCGTCGGCATTCTTCACGGCGTCCATCTGGTCGGGGTCGGCCTTGATCTCTTCCACCCAGTCCAGGTAGGCCTGGAGCAGGCCCATGTCGCTCTCGAACGTGCTGATCACCTTCAGGCCTGGCTTGCGACGGCTCAGCTCCGACAGGATCTGCTGCCCGGCCTCGCTCAGCCGGTTCCCCACGATGCTGCCCAGAGGCGGGGGACAACACATCAGGGGATCGCAAAGATGCAGCTGCCTCTGGGGTGCAGCGGCCGGTTTATATTGGGATTGCTCGCCGGGGGCTGGCAGCGGTGGAGCCATTGTATATATTGGGCGCTGAGATGCGGCTGCTGCTGGGGTGCAGCGTGAGGGCTAGTTATACAGGGATCCCTCACTCAACACTGAAATGCGGCCACCTCTGTGGTGGAGTGTGCGGGCTGTTTATACAAGGACCCCCTCACCCGGTGCAGAGATGCAATATTGAGGCCAGAACTGACTGCTAGGGGAGAGTCCCCATCCCACCCCTGCAGCACAGCGCCCCCTAGCGCCACCCAGGGGCATCGGGGCCCTGCAGCACAGCGCCCCCCAGCGCCCTGCAGGGGTATTGGGGCCAACTCTGACTGCCAGGGGAGAGTCCCCATCCCACCCCCTGCAGCACAGCGCCCCCTAGCGCCCCGCAGGGGTATTGGGCCAACCCTGACTGCCAGGGGAGAGCCCTCATCCCACTCCCTGGAGCACAGCGCCCCCTAGCACCCCGCAGGGGCATCGGGGCCCTGCAGCACAGCGCCCCCTAGCGCCCTGCAGGGGTATTGGGGCCAACTCTGACTGCCAGGGGAGAGTCCCCATCCCACCCCCTACAGCACAGCGCCCCCTAGCACCCCGCACGGGTATTGGGGCCAATCCTGACTGCCAAGGGAGAGCCCCCATCCCACCCCCTGCAGCACAGCGCCCTCTAGTGCCATGCTGGGGCATCGGGACCAGCCCTGCCTGCCAGGGGAGATTCCCCATCCCACCCCCTGCAGCACAGCGCCCCCTAGTGCCATGCTGGGGCTCCGGGCCAGCCCTGCCTGTCAGGGGAGAGCTCCCCCCCCGCAGCACAGAGCCCTCTGCAGGGAGCTGCTGGCACTCACGTCAGGAGCCGGAGGGTGCTGTTGGCCAGGAGGCAGGGCAGCAGGTTGTCCAGGCCGCTGTCGGTGATGCCGGTGATGTCCAGGTACAGCTCCTCCAGGGTGCGGTTCTCCCGCAGGGCCTCCCACAGCCGCCTCGCCCCCTCCGAGCCCAGGCAGTTCCCGCACAGGCTGCAGGGAAGCAGAGCGACGGGATCCACTCGAGGGCGGGGAAGGGGCCAGCTCAGAAATCCCCCCCAGCCCGACAACTCTGGGTGCATCCCAGCCCTGAACCCCAGAGAGGGGGGCTCGCGCCCCATGGCCCAGCCAGCCCTTGGCATCTCTTTTGGGGCTGCCAGCAAAGGGGTCGGTGAGTATCTGAGGGGGGAGAGGGGGAGATAGTCCCTGTCCCAGCTGGGAACGGGGCTGAGACCCAGCAAACTCAATTCCCATATGGAGTTAGAAGGGCCCAAAGCCCATTTTCTGGCCCCCTGAGCCAGCCAGTCCCCACGCTGGGGCTGGATCAGAGCTGGGGCCCCCTAGAGGGGAAAGCCCATGTGCCCCATTGCCCCCCCCCCAGCCTGTGCCCCATCCTGGGGCCGTGGTCACTCACAGCAGCCGTTTCACTTGGCACTGGGGGGATCTCAGCACCTCGGCCTCTATGACGGCTGCCTCCTTGTCCAGAGAATTGTAGCGCAACCTACAGAGGAGTGGTCAGTGTGAGAGGGGACCGGAGCACCGAGCACCCCCCGCTCCCGGAGCCTAGGATAGAACCCAGGAGTCCTGGCTCTTAATCCCCCCCCCGCCGCTCTAACCACTAGACCCCCACTCCCCACCCACAGCCAGGGATAGAACCCAGGAGTCCTGACTCCCAGCCCCCCCTGCTCTAACCACTAGGCCCCCTCCCAGAGCTGGGGCTAGAACCCAGGAGTCCTAGGTGGCGTGCGCGCACACGCACACACACTCACTGCAGCGTCTCGCAGCGGTGCAGCAGCCCCCGGATCCTGCGCAGCCCAGCCATGCCCATGTTGCTGTAGCTCAAGTTGAGGTTCTTCACTCTCCCGGGCTCGGAGGCCCCCAGCACGTAGGCCAGGGCGGCGCAGTCGGCTGGGTTGAGGGTCACCTTGAAGAGGTTGACGTCCTCCAGCTCGCGGGCCACCCGGCCCGTCACCCCCTCCTGGCGCAGCTCCGCCACGCAGTGCAGGAGCGAGAGGAGGCGCCTCTCGGTGTCTCCCCTGAGCTTCCTCCCCAGCCAGTCCGCCACGGGCCCCAGCACGTCTCCGGAGAAGCCTGCGGTCAACCCCTCCAGCTTCCCCTCCATCCTGGAGGTCAGCAGCCCCATGAAGAACCTGGCGAACATCTGGAGATTGTCCCACCGGGGCTGGTGGCCCCTCAGGAGCTGCCTGGTGGAGTGGAGGAGACTGGATTCGCCTGGTGACGTCCAGGAGGGCTCCGGGTCCCCGTCCTGCTGGGCCGATCCCTCCCACCAGAGATCCAGGCAGGGCGTGAGGTCCTCGGCGCCAGGATCCAGGGCAGCCACGCAGTAGAGCGCGGCCAGGAACTCCTGCACCGTCAGGTGGAAGAAGCAATAGACCTGGTGGTCTTCTCTGGAGAAGATGGGGTTGAAGAAAGTGCCCGGAAGGTCTTGGGGGTCGAATCCGAATTCCCGCAGCTCAGCTGGGGTGAAGAGGATCTTGCCGGCCAACAGGGCGGCGTACGCCAGGCGCCCCAGGCGCAGGACCAGCTGCCCGGCGCCCGGCTCCGGAGACCAGCTGCGACCCAGGATGGTGGCCATATAGCAGCGATAGACCTCGGTGATGGTGGTGGGCGGAGATGGGTCAGCTGCCTGGCCGGCGGGGAAGAACTCCCCCAGGGCGGTGCATAAGATGAAGCAGTAGAGGGGGATGAAGCAAAGCCCAGCTAAGCCTTGGTGGCCGGA